TAATGATATTTTGATTGGGATTGCACTAAATCTGTATAGCAGATTTGGAAGTATGACCATTTTCACTATGTTGGTTCTTCCTACCCAAAAGCAGGGGATATCTTTCCATTTTCTGATATCTTCCTTGATCTCCTTTTTCAGAATACTGCAGTTTTCAATGTAAAGATCTTTTACTTCCTTTGTTAGATTGATTCTTAAGTATTTCATTTTTTTTAATGCTATCATGAAAGGTGTTGTATACTTAATTTCTTTCTCAGTGAGTTTGTCATATTTGTGTACAGGAATGCTATTGTTTTTTGAGTGTTGATTTTGTATCCAGCTATGTTACTGAATTTGGTTATTAAATCTAGAAGTCTTCTACGCAGAGAAACATGTCATCTGAAAATCATGATAATTTAACTTTATCCTTTCCTATCCTTATTCCTTTTATTTCTTTCTCTTGTCTTATTTCCCTGGCTAATGTTTCCAGAACTATATTGAATAGGAGTGGTGATAGTGAATATCCATGTCTTGTTCTTGATTTTAGAGTGAAAGCTTTCAGTTTTTGACCATTTAGTATGATGTTGGCTGTTTGTTTGTTATAGATGACTTTTATCAGATTGAGATAAAGCCATCTGTTGCTATTTCCTGTTGGTTTTATATATAAATATATGTATATGAATGAATATATATAGAAATGTATATATATATAGAAATATATATATAAATGGGTGTTGGACCTTGTTAAATGCTTTTTATGCATCTGTTGAGATAATCAAGTGTTTTCTGTCTTTGGCTCTGTTGATATGGTATATTACATGTATTAACTTGGGTATATTAAACCATCCCTGAATCCTTGGGATGAATCCCACTGGGGTGTGGTATATCATCTCCTTGATGATTTGCTGCCTTCTGTTTGCCTATGTCTTATTGTGGATTTTTGCCTCTGTGTTCATTAGGGAGATTGACTTGTTGTTTTCTTTTTTGATTGGGTCCTTCTCTGATTTCCATAACAAGATAATACTGGCTTCCAGGAATTATTTTGGTAATATAGCTTCCCCTTCTATTTCATTAAAGAGTTTGAGGAGAACTGACATTAGATCGTCTCTAAGTTTCTTATAGAATTCAGCAATGAAACCAACAGGGCTTGAACTTTTCCTTGTTGGTAAGTTTTTAATTACATTTTCAATTTAATTGACTAATATTGGATTACTTAGAATTTTAATGTCTTCTTGATTCAGTTTTTGGTAATTCATATTTATCTAAGGACCTGTCTGTTCCTTCTGTGTTTTCCATCTTATTAGAGTAAAGGTTCTCAAAGTAAGTATTGATAATCTTCTGAATTTCGATAGAATCTGTTGTGATTTCACCCTTTTCATTCTTAATTGCATGGATTTGAACCTTTTCTTTTATTGATAATATTGGCTAAGGGTTTATTAATTTTATTTAATGTTTCAAAGAACCAACTCTTCAATTCATTGATTCTTTTCATTGTTTTCTTGGTCTCAATTTCATTAATTTCTGTTCTGATCCTTATAATTTACTCCCTTGTACTAGGTTTGGGCTTGACTTGTTCTTTTCTAGAAGCTTGAGGTTCAATAGTAGGTTGTTTATTTGAGCTCCTTCTGTTTTCTTGATGTGAGAGTTCACTACTATAAGTTTCCCTCTTAGGAGTGCTTTTTATTGTATCCCATAAGTTGCAATATGTTATATTTGTATTATAATTTAATTGTAAATACTATTTAATTTCCTCTGTAGTTTCATCTGTGACCCACTGGTTGTTCAGGAGGGTGTCATTTAATTTCCATGTGTTTATGGAGTTTTTGTGGTTTCTTTTGCCATTGATTTCCATTTCATTGCACTATGGTCAGATAATATGCATGGGATAATTTTGATCCTTTTTTTAAAATTCAAACATTAAGCATCGCTCTTAAATAGAAACTTTAAAAAAATGTGTTCACTTAATCACATCAAGTCTTTTTCCAATCTGTTTCTCCACAGCTTGCCCCAAGCTTTTCCAAAAGACTATTATGCAACTCCGGTGTGAAATTCCCTTTGCAAACAGGCCTGCTGAAGCAGAAACATAAGGTGGGTCCCTCTTGTCCAGTAGGTAATGGAAATTAGCTGAAGGGCCTGGGCTGAGGACCTTTGGCTCTGACTCTGTCTCTGCTAAGGAAGAATGCTGGCTGGGTCCAGGCACATCCCCCACGTACTCAGAAGGCCAGCAAGATATGAGTCATATCACTACTGCACACCCCAATGTGGGTCTGTCTGGGTTTGCAGTCTGTTCCGAGATTGTGAAAATTGAAATACTTGCTAAGAGAAAATCTCTACTCAAGCCATAGTTGTGCGGATACAAATTACTCTTCATTAAAAGAAAAAAAATACATTTCTTTTTAAAGTGTAAGAATTCCCAATGAAGACAACAATTTGTTCTGTTCCTTGTGTGTAGAATTTTTATTTTCCTATAGGTAAAAAAATGTAGCTGATGAATAGGACACATGTGAACTCATTTGGTACTGCTCTTAGAGTTTAGGTGTAGATGTCAAGACAACATTAATTTGCTTCCGTAAGCACTCTCCTTAAAAAAGCAAACCACTGACTAGACTTCCCTTAACCAAGAGTTTCTCTAGATTCTTAGCAGGAAGTTCACTGATTTGAAATGTGGCTGTGCAGGTCTCAAAACCCTCAGAGCATCCCTAGGTGGTGGCAGAACAGTATAATCTAGTGGCTGATGAAGTCGTTGCAGCATCCAAGGTCCTGTGGTCTCTAGGAGATGCTTCCACACCAGGCACTGGCTCTTTCACTTCAGTACCCAGTAAGGGACCATTAGAACTAAGCAGATGTACACAACCATCTCTTTCCTCAAGCTGATGCAATTTGGTCGCTACTTTTAAGGAACAAAATGCATATTGGTACTTTTGAATCATTTATAGCTACATTTTTTTCAGCCTTGTGGAGTTGGCCCTGGTTCCTGGCTTCAGGACACACACTTCCATATGGGTCTGTTAAATTTCATTCATTCATTCATTTTATGAGACTAGGGATTGAAGCCAGGGCCTTTGCACATTCTTGTTATTTTCTTTGGTCTTCCTCCTCCTCCTCCTCCTCCTCCTCTTCCTCTTCCTCTTTGACTTCTTCATCTTCTTCACCTTCTTGGTCTTCATTTTTCTTTTTTTTAGTTTGAGGCAGGGTCTAGCTAAGTGGCTAAATTGCCCAGGCTGGACTTGAACTTGCAATCCTCCTGCCTCAGCCTCAAAGTTTTGGGATTTTATGCATGTTTTCTCATGCTTGCCAAATTTTAATGTTGTGTAACAAAATGAATGCAGTTGTGAATTCAGTTCCACGGTAGCAGGAACTGTGTTTCAAGAACTCAATTTTGGGCGAGGGATTTATCTCAGTGGTGCCGCCACCTGCCTCACAAGTGCAAGTACCCCAGTTCAATCCCCAGTACCAAAAATAATAAAAAAAAAAAGAGCTCAATTGTTAAGTGTGGCCAGTGTCTGCTGAATTGGACAGCACTGTCCTAGACACACAATGCTGGGTCCCGTGGCTTCTCGAGGCTCAGTGTCCCATCCTCTACTGGTCTAAGGTTTCTAGTGATGCTCACCACAGAGCTGCTATGTGTCACATGGAATGATGCCTATGCAAGTGCCGTGCTCATGTCATCTTAAAAAAATTATTGCAGGGCTGGGGATTTTGTTCAGTGGCACCACTCCTGCCTCACAAGAGTAAGGTCCTGAGTTCAATCCCCAGGACCCCCCTCCCACTAAAAAAAAAACTCAAAAAACAAAAACATTATTGCAGCATTGTGAAATCACTAAGAGTTCAGACTTGGCATCTTACAATCCTGCTAGCCATTTTTTACAAGTTGAATTATGGTATGAAGTTGACCTTCATGCTTGTTCTTTTTTTTCTCTCTCTCTTTGAGTTTATTGGTACATTTTAGGTATACAGTACAGTTCCATTCATCATGGGGATCTTGTACCTTTACATGACAGGTCTTGGTTCTCATCATTTCCCCTTGTCCCTGCCCTCCCTTCACCCCCTCCTCCCTTTCCTATTTACAAATACTTTCTTTCCATCTTTTCATTTTCTCATATTTTTCCCTTATTACCTTTCCCCTACACTACCCACTCTTCCCCTATAACTTTAGCCCTTTTCTTCCTATTTCACACTGTCAATTATATCATTAGGATCTTATGTACCATTACAGTTTTTCACACCAGGGAAACTATTCAGTATTTACACACATGTGTCTTATTTATTTCACTTAGGAGTATATCCTCTATATGTATCAATTTTCCTATGAATGACTAATTTATCATTCTTTAGGGCTGAATAGTATTCCATTTTATAGAAAAACCACATCTTTATCCAGTCTCCAATTGATGGGCAAATGGTCTGTTTCCAAGTTTTAGCTATTACAAACTGTGCCACTATAAACATCGGTGCGCATATATCACTGTGATATGATTCTTTTAATTCTTTTGGAAAAATACCCAGCAGAGGGATAGCTGGATCAAATGGAACCTCCAGTCCAAGCTCTTTGAGGTATCTCCATATTGATTTCCATAGTGGTTGCACCAGTCTGCACTCTCACCAACAATGGAGAAGGGTTCTTTTCTCCCCACAACTCTGCCAACATTTGTTATTGGTTGATTTCTTCATAGCAGCCATTCTTTGTAGGGTGAGGTGGCCTTCATGCTTCTTCTTTAGGACCCAAGAACATTTCACCATCTGCACCATTGACAACTTCCCCATGCATGGAACATTCTGTTACATGTACATTAAATTCATTATTTTTCTACGCCTATCTGAAATTCATGGGAAAAAAGTAATGCAACATACAAGCTGATAAGGATTGTAATCTTTGCCCAGACAGTGTCTAAAGTGGACTACAGGAAGTGAATGAGTAACACATAGCCTTGTGCTACATTAATTACCAGCAGCCTGGATGACTAACATATTTCTAACCCATTTGGGGGCAAATCACGGGCTTCCTTCGTATAAGTGCCTTTCCTTGTGCCCCAGCTGGTTTCTTTCAGGGAGTTAGTTGCATATGTGTGCATCCACTGGCAGTTGGCACATTAGCCAGCATCATGGAAAGAAGTCTGAAGAATGTCCTTGTGATCTCCTTTGGTTTCCTTCTCCTCTTCACTGCTTATGGAAGCCTGCAGAATCTACAGGTAAATGTGTACCTTGCCCCCGATCTTAACTTTTGTGTTTCTCTTGGCTTCCAAGATCTTTGTGGTCACTAAAAATAGTAAAAGGAGATTTCTTTTATATCAGTACACTCTAACATTTTGATCTCCCTTCCACATTCTCTAAAGCAGACAATGGTTTTCACTTGCAATCCTATAACATTCAGTCCGTGCTTATGTTCCAACAGGACTGCATACTAGCATTGTTTGTTTGACCCTTGGCAAGAAGAGCAAGTCTTGAGTGGTGGTTTAATAATATGCTCTTCATCTTTGGGTAGTTAAGAGAAAAGAGAAAAATTGCTTTAATTTTATGTTCTAAGATTTTTGATTTGTTGTCATAGCAGAAGTATGAGTTATCAAATCTCACTAGCACTTTTCGATTCCAAGCCTGCTTTAAGCAAAATTGTGAAATTCGATGAAATAATTGGTATTTTGAACTATTTATAGCATTTCTTCCATGGGTCTATGAGCTTAGAACTGGAAGTAAAACATTCAGGGAAGTCCAGGGTCCAGCTGGCAAGCATGGCCATCACTGTCCCCTGCTGCTTTCACTGGCTTAGCATTGTACCCTGGGGCCGAGCTGTCAAATAATGAAACATTTCTAGAGCTCCTGGTGAACAGTAAGTGTAGCCTCACACAGTTTGTGTAAGGACAAGCAGTACGAACCTACTGAATGGATAGTATTGAGCCAGAAAAGCCCACCCAGGGGCTCAGGGTCAAAGGCTCTGTCTTCACTTGCACTCTGCAAGCACGCTGGACCTCCTCCTGAGTCCTGCTTCTGACGAGCCTTGCAGAGCATGAGAGGACAGCAATGGTGATGCTCAAAATCAAGGAAGGTATGCGCAATCTCCTTTCTAATTGTGCAGAGTCTGACATTTGAAGTCCTCACCCTCCCACCCCATGCCTTGTGATGGCATCTGCAAATGTCAGTCTATTCAGAGTACCTGCTTTGTGTGGAGTTCAACTCAGCTCATGCTGAATGTGGTCAGGGAGCAGCCTGTGAGAGGAGATGTGGTCAGGGGGCACCCGCTGGACAGAGGACTCGGCAGGATGTGGACAGCCAGGGATATTTTCCTTCCAGAGCACTTGCACACAGAAGGTCCTCCTGTGACGACATCAGTGGCAGGCAGCACAGCTCCCTGGGCATTGGGGTCTGGCCACAATGGGTTACAAGTCTGAAATCTGGCAGCAGTTTAGCTGACTAACTGAAAATTGGCCCCTGCACTTGGAAGCCAGAGGAAGAGTTTGGCAAGCAGAGCCTTAGAAGCTGCTGATGGCTCCTGCCCAGCTGCAAGAACAGGCGCAGGGCTGCACATAAGTGTGGCAGACAGTCATGGCCCCTGTGGCTCAGCTCCTAGACAGCATGTGGCCAGGAGTTCTCCATGACAGCATCTGGCTGCGCTCCAGCTGCAAGTAGTTGCACTAGGTACCTCCAGCACTGGAAGGACCCAAGGGACAAGGATCAATCTCACCCACTCCCCTGCTGTATCTGTGGTCCCAACCCTAACCTGGCCACATTGTCCAGCTCACTGACTCAGACTACACTGTGCACAAACATGTTTGAACTAGTACAGTGGTTCCTACTACTCAGAATGGGCCAAAGCAAAAATGTCATATGGACAGACGTGATTTCAGGAATGCTGGACCCCAACCCCATCTTAGGAACTGTCTCCACCCCTCACTCAGTTCTCGTACCATTGGCTCCATCCTTATCACCTTCAGGTCCTCTTCCCTCCAAGCCCGGCAACCTTGCAGGAACCCGGGTGTGCTCCTCAGGACCCTGACCTGGCCTGGGTCAGGTCGGCATTTTCACCACAGCAGCACTGTCTTCTCGGCCTCTTTGGCACCAGCTTCCTCTTTGTCATTCATATCTCAGCTTTCTCTAAGTTACATCGGTCTCACGTCCTGATGATGCCCTGGAGAGGAGGTCTGCCCAGCCAAGGGGCGAATGCCACAGCTGGTCCCTTTCTGTCAGCAGCCAGCAGTCTGTGGAGACCAAGATTCAAGGACTGTGTCCCTGGGCATTGCCACCCAGGCCTGGGGCAGACTTTACCTTCAGACAGTACTGAGCGGACATGGGGTGAAGGAGGAGGTCATTACTGCTTGGAACCCTTTGGGGGCTCTCTACAGACTTCCAAATCCACCCAGGTTTAGAAGAAAGGGCTTCCCAGGGCCTAGTGTTGGTGAATTCCCCAGAGCTTCTGGGGGCTCTGTCGGGTGCAGCTGATGATCCGTGCTGTCTCCTACCAAGTGGGATCCTGGCAGGCATGTCCCACACTGCACTCTCCTGCATCCAGTTGATATCCTAGAGGGTCTCACTCCCTCAGTGGGGCTGGTCCTGGTGTCCCTACAAGGCAGTGGCAGCCCAGTGGCAATGGACTGTTAGCTGACTTTGCTGTCAGCTTCTGTAGGTCCATCTGCCCCTCAAAGCGGTGGCTGTGTTACTTCTTTCTGTGTCACTAGTCCTCATCGAGTCTCCAGCGGGAAGTGCCTCGACCTTCCTGCTGACCAGGTGGAAAGGATATCGCATTGCTTATGCAATAGATCTTATGACATCCAACAGGCATGCACGGTCATCTTCATATGCATGTCCTATAGGTAGGCTTGCCTGGTGCTCACCTGCCCAGGTACACAGGCATTCACAGAACTCAGATGGGGACAGTCACACAGAGAAAGGCATTTGCCTTTGAATCTGGTTCCTACTTTGGATACTGACATCTAACTTTCTTTTCTGCAGTTTTCAATCAGAACTGATCATAAATGACAAATGCCTTTTGCTGATTTGCAGCACCCTGTGGTTGGTAAAGAAATTCCTGTGCCACGAGCTTCTCCTTGAGACATGCATAGGAAGGCATCTCGTACCACAGGCCAGGCAGAACTAATTCTCCCATGCCGGGCCCCTGGCAATGTATGTTATCAATAGACATTTCCCGAGAACCCACTCCGGAGGAAAGTGCTTAATTCCCATCTTCTAACAGAATTTGAGGGTTTTATGGGACTAGCCACTTTTGCCTTTGGGTTTAATTAACCAAAAATATTATCGGGTACCTACTTTGATCCAAGCAATGGGAGAGGTTTTTGTTTTAAAGCAGCATGTTTCTTCTGCCTTGGAAGGGCTTGTGATCCGACTGGAGCAGCTGGGTCCTGCTGCCTCACTAACTGGCTGTGTCTGACTGCATGAGACACTTCCTGTCTCCTTCCTCATCTTCCCATAGAGACAAGATGAGCCTCTCAGCCTTCAGAAGACAGTGGGTGCAGAGCTCTTAATTCAGTATCTGGCACACGGTGTGTGCAGTACAGGAGGCTCTCTGATGTAAGCTCCAGTCTCAGCAGAGACCAGGCCCTGAAGGATCTACTTTTTCTCCTGTGGTATCAAACCAGCTCCAGAGCCCCCCAGATTTGTCCCACAACCTATCTATGCAGTACAGAGAACTGAGTACAAGGGGCAAAGAAATAGGGTGGGGTGACAGGAAACTGTTATAGAAACCAGCCCCTCCCTCTTCTGCCTCATCTTCCCTTTTTCTTTCTGTCCCTTCCTCTCTCCTTTCTCCTCTCCCTCCTCCTCATTACAAGGGAAATAGGAAGAAACCATTTCCCTGGGTTCTTTTTATGCAGAAGCCAGACATTGCCCATGTGACTGCTCTTGCCAGTCTGGCTCTGGTGACCTGTTTGAACTTTGGGTCACTACACACCTGAACTATGACAGGCTTTCTACAAAGACAGCATTAAGAAGAAGTGTGTGACTTCACTGCATATCACTGGCAGGAGAAGTGCTACCTGGGGAGGGAAAGAGAGAGAGACAGAGAGAGAGAGCGCTCCCTGGAGCTTCCAGTGGCTCCTCCCTGCTAGTCCCCAGCCAAGCAGATGTCGCCAGAAGCCCAAGGATCTCGTGGCACATACCCCACTGTCCAGCACCCTAAGGGCTGGGGCATCGATCTGAACACTTAGTGGAAGGTGACTGTCCCTGTCCTGTCCACCCTCGGCAGTCCTGATGCAGTATGGCCTGATGCTTGTGATTCAGGACTTGAGGTGGCCTTGAACCTTTGGGACCCCAAGCACCTGACCATGCTCATGCTGGTCCTTTGTCCCACAGTCCCTGTGCCTGTGTTCTGCTCTGATAAGCCGACCTTGTTTCCACAGAGTAGCCTCCACAGCGAGGGTGGCCTAGGGGTGGCGACACTCAGTTCACTCTATGGTGCTGTTCTCCTGTCCTCCATGTTCCTCCCACCCATCTTCATCAAGAGGTTCGGCTGCAAGTGGACCATCATCGGTGCCATGGGCTGCTACGTGGCCTTCTCCCTGGGCAACTTCAAAAGCAGCTGGTATGGCCCTCCCCTGTCCCACCTCCCAGTTTGCTTCCAGTTGCCATGCATCCATCTGAGGCTACTGTTGAATGCTCTCTCCATCCTGCGTTGCCCATGGTTTCCATCACAGGACTGGCATGCAACGTCCTTCCCAGCTTTCTCCCTCTATTCCCACCTTCAATGCTGGCTCCCCACTCTCCCAATTCCCAGGCCTACCTCTTCCTGGAATCTGTCCCAGTCTCAGCTTCCCATGCACACTGGGTCCTTTCATGAGCCCAAGAACCACAGGGAGGGTCTAATTTAGACTGAAAGGTGAGACTCAGGGAGACGAGGAAGGACTTGACTGGTGATCAAACTGATGACCATCGAGGGCAGGACAGAGATGCCCACACCAGACTTCTTTCAGGTACACCCTAGTCCCTACCTCAGTGCTGCTGGGGCTGGGCGCGGCACCACTGTGGTCAGCACAGTGCACCTATCTCACCATCCTGGGGAACTCGCAAGCCAGGAAGGTGGGAGAGCTTGGCAAGAATGTGGTGAACAAGTACTTCGGTGTCTTCTTCTTCATCTTCCAGTCCTCAGGCGTGTGGGGCAACCTCATCTCCTCTCTGGTGTTTCACCAGACTCCTAATAAAGGTAAAGGGAAGAGGGAGAGCAGTGGTTTTGAGGAGAAGCAGGATCTCCATGGTGACCACTAAGAGAGTTTGGACACTGTGTATCCACCCATCTTTACCAAAGGCCCTCGGACTGCCTGTGCTGCAGTTAGGTGGCCTCTTCTCCCCTGGAGACAGCTGGGATCTGAAGACTAGTCTCTTCCATAAGTGTCCCCAGGGGGCAGGGCAATCCTTGCATCAGGATGCTGTGGGCAAGATAAGAACCCTGCAGGGGGACCTGGGTCTGTGGAGTTGCCGCTGTCCCTTTGAGACTGCATGAGAACAGCTGCCTGATCTATCAGTACTGATTTTACCCACTGACTAGGGTTTATGCATGTGTTCAACTCTTAACCCTAACTGAGAGAGCATCTGTTGTTTGATCTCTGCCTTCCTGATCTGACACAGTCTCAGATTTAAAGAGGGTGTGTGTCACACCTGGACCCTTTGGGACTGTGTTGAGGATTTAAACCAGGGTCAGAGGAATCCCTCAGTTCTTAGGGAGACCCTCACAGTGGAAAGGTTAAATTGTTCCTTTCCTTCCTGGCCCTGATTGTGCCTTCCAGGTAAAGCCCTTCCTTTAGGATACTCTGCAGCCAAACCTTTCTACCTTCCTTTGTGCTGGATAGTTTTACTCTATAATGATTCTACTAGGGATGCCACAGGGCTCACACATACTGATCCTGCTTGTCACATCAAACTCTAAATATTCTCTCTCATGATGTCCTTCCTCTCTCCAGGTCTGCAGACATGATACTGACTTACAGGCATTAGTGGTTCCAACTTTATTCTTCCAACAACACATATGGAAACTGGCATTCAATTTTCAGGAGAGGTTTTAAGTCACCTGCCCAAAGCTATAGAACTGTTTTCAGTTGAGTCTAGAAGGTGTTCCTAGCACCTTCTAATATAATGCATTTTTTCTTTCTGACGGATTCTGAAAAGTTGAAAATTCTTAGTTGTGTCAGAAAAGTAGTATAACAAATAGCTAGCATTCAATTCCATGTTTATTCTCCTCTGATTCTTTTCAAAATACTAACTTGTTTCTTATCGCCCCTAAAAGGGCTTAAAGCCAGTCTTCAGCATGTGCCTAAGGGTGAATGTGTGCAGATATACTGGGTCACATTGATTTTTGCAATATCTTCCAGAGGCTTCCCCATCTTTACACCGTTACTTCTGACTTCAGGTGCCCATATCCTATCAGATCCACTGCGTCCCACTTAGTCTGTTTGCTTCTGGCTTCACAGAATTCTTTTCAGAGGATCAGCTCATGTCCTGCGGGGCCAAAGACTGCCTGATGTCTACAGTGGCTGCCAACTACACCACGCAACCTTCCCAGAAGCTGGTCTACACGCTGCTGAGCATCTACACAGGTACATGCCCATAGCTCCCCTTCCTGTGCTGAAGAGGACTGGCTCCCCAGCCCGGAATATGCGCTCTTCATCTCTAGCCCCTGCCTAGCCATAGGGCTGAGCCATCCACAAGTGCTCTCTATGGAAGCTGACACAGTGACCCAGGGCTGTCTAACACAGAGACTTATGACAGCATCGGCATTGTACATCTCTAGAGTCACGGACAGATGCTTTTAAATTATTAAATTACAAATTCTGTTCCTAAGTCATCCCAGCCACACTTCAGGTGCTCAGTGGCTGCCATGGCAGACACTGTCATGTGTCCTGGCCCACAAGAATCCAGGATGTTGGTAGGTTTCCCAAGTGACTGAAAATCCAGTCTCTGAAGTTGTCTTTTTCCCCTAAGAAAAGTATTTGAGTGATTTGGGTCAAAGGAGAATAAGGCCTGTGGCTGCCCATCTTTGGCTGTCACCCAGTATCTGAAGATACAAGCTTTGCAAGTTCATGAAAAGAAGGTGGCCTGAAGGAACTTAACTGTTACAATGATTCTTACTCTTGGAGGTTCATTTTAATGAAAAAATCTATGTCGGAAGTTTCATGCGTGACTTTACTTACATTCATAGATTCACTGCTACTTTAAAGGGGATACATTTAGATTTTTTTCAAAAGTTGTTTCAAAAGGTGTTTAAATGTATTCTTTGTCATTTTTGAGTGTTGGAATTCACAAAGGCTTGGGAATATCCTCCTGAAGAGCGAAGGTCTGAAATCTGTCAAGTTGAATATAATATGCCCAGCTCCATGACAGGAGCAGTCAGGAAGGCTGATGTGTGTGGAGAGTTTTGTTTTCATGATAAAACGTGAGCATTCCCAGAACTCAGGTCCCTGTGCAGTCACTCCAAGTCAGAGGTACTGTGCACGCTTGTAAACAGTCACTTTAGTCTCACAGAGGGCATTGAGCCCTTGCCTGTGCCTCTGAGCAATGGGCTAGGCCCCCTGTGGCCCCCAAAACAAGAGCCACAGAACATTTCACACCTTCAAAAAGCTCAGAGCCCACATATGGAGGCAGAGTGGCATTCAGCTAACTGAGGTGGTTCCTGAGCTCTGGACAGAGGGTCCAGCTGGGGAGGCACAGCAGATGCCAGATGGGGAGAACAGAAAGTAACACATAGCCTAGAAGCCAAGAATGAAAAGAACGTACCTGTCTGTGGCCTGTGCTATTCCTCTAAAACTAGGGTGGGCACTGGGTCCAAATCCTGACCCCTGCTGGCCTTTGTAAATAAACCTTGATTGGAACTCAGCCACATGCATACATTCACACACTGTCTGTGATTCTCACTATAAAGATAACATGGAGCAGTTCCAACCAGACCATACTATGCCAAAGCCTGGATCCATTTCTGGCTGGCCTTCTTTTGCAGAAAGAGTTTGTCTCCCTACCTGTAGAGCACTGTGGCTTTAGTCAGGGAAGTCTCTGGGGCTGCATGGCCAGAAGCGATGGGGCTGGGCCTCACTGCATTGCAAAGAGGATGGGGCTAAAGGAACACTGAGGTCAGGGTGACTCCTCCCTGTCCCCATGGTCACATTCATGGAAATGTGGGAACCACTAGAAAAACACACAGGGTTCAGCACAGATGAGAAGCTGGAGGTCAGAGACACGCTGCCTCCTCACTGTCTCCCTTTTGCTTGTACCTCAGGCCACTCCCTGGGACTTCACACACCACTCTGCCAATGTACAGCGACCGGGCTGCCCCTGGGTTCCTCTTGCTATAGGTTCTCTAGCATCCCAGCTCTGTGTATAATACTAATTCTTGATTCCTGGGGAACCCAGAAGCTTAATTAAGAAAAATTCTGAGGCACAAATAAATCAGACCATGCTGGTATAATATGGGAAAATGTCCTATTCTGATGGTAGCTTCCATGGGTCATCTCATGTGGCTGCTTTTTTAAAAGCAAGGTCATGTTACCATAAAGGAAAAAATCAGAATGGAAGAAATTGAATAGACGGAACCAGAACACCACCACTCTGAAGCACTTTCTCAGGATTTCTGGGTCCTGAACACAGAAATAAGTTTCTTGCAGAATTACTGTCTGCAGAAGAGTGTAGTAGTCATAGGTTGTCAGTCAGTTTGCACCCCTGGAAGGCTCTGCGTGACATGGAACCTGGACATACATGTCACGACAGACAGGTGTGGCTTCTGCAATTTCTCAGAGGCTCCCTCTCCTCTGCTTCCTGTCACAGGGATTGATCCTATTGGGCTGCTCCAAATTTGCAGTTCACGTCCAAAGGGCAAAGGTGAAGAAAGGGCTGTCTGTGCTCAGGGGAGAAAACACATGTATTTCCCATGGGGTCTGCATACAACCAGCTTGTGAGGTTGGTGTGGGAGGCACCGAGCAGTTGGAAATATATACGGTCCCCTTGAGCCTGCACAGTCACTTTTTTGGTTTAGTTGAAGGAAATAAGGGGAAACCTCGAAATGATCACAGCAGGAGATGTTCAAGCCTCCCAGAATTTAGTGAACCTCATTCAAATCCTGCTTTATAATGGCAGAGAGAGAGAGAGAGAGAGAGAGGTTTTGCCAAGAGGGGAAGGGATTCAGGAACACTCAGCCACTTTAACGGTAACACAGCAAGTCTTCCACGATGGTTCCACAGAGGATTCTAGGTCACACGAGATGAAGCGGTGAGAAGAGAGAAAATCAGTCATGTCTTCTTAAAAAATAGAAGTGCATACTGGGATTGAGTGTTTGAAAAGCATCCTGTGCAACTCTGACCAGGGTCAGGAGAAGAGGAAAGGATCCAAACCGTCTAGAGTGAGTCTGTAATGTAACACCTGAAGCCAGGTAGCCACTGCTACCAGAGAGGAGAGAAACATCAGAAATTTAAAGACATCACAAAAAGCACTTAGAAGCTATTGGACAACAAAAAGGCAAAAACTTGTATAAACATTAGTTCTCCATGTAGAGAAGTGAAGGTGAGTCAAATAATAAAGTGTGGATGGTGAAGATGGAGATTCGGTCTTTACATTTTGGAAGTATGCAAGTACAGAACAAGGTGAAATGAATAGATGTATTTGCACAGACAATCCACTTACATGAAAGGGCAAAGTACGCTTTCACGGCTATCTCTTAGCCACCCTGCTCTCCCCCAGACTATGTGTGCCTGTTGTGTCTTCAGCATGCCTGATGTACCTATAGACAAGCCTCTACACCCCACCTTGTCAACTGCAAAAGGTGGCACCTTGTTGATCTTTCTCGTTTTATTACTTGTTTTGAGGGAGGGGTTTTACCATCTTAGGATATAAAGGACTTTGTATTGTTTTCTTTTGTTTTTATTTTCTTCAAGTGTACAGTATTCTCTTGCTGCTGAGAACTATGCAACTGAGATATACCAGTTCCTACGGAAGGACCCTTAGACAAATAGTTCTGGGATAAATAAAAAATATAGCAAATGGTTCGTGCATGAAACTCATTATCAAAAGAAAAATAGAAGGAAGAATGGGGGGAAAAGGAAAAAGAAAAGGGAAGGAAAGGAAAAGAAAAAGCTAGAACAGCTGCCTATTGGTAGAAATTGCATCGAAGAATAGGATAAGAGACCCAGAGCCAGTGGCCAAGGACACTGAGCACCTTTGGGGTCTCTTGTGCCAATGAAGGCAGCACTGACCTGCTATAGCCCGTGAGAACCTAGAAGTCTGAGTTACTGGCAGAACACATGTAGGGTCAATGACTGGGACTTGCTATTTGAGGTCAAAAGCTGCAGCTAGGCATGGTGGATCTTACATCATCTTAGTCTGGGATGAGTAAGGGGCAAATCAGTGAGGCCCCTGCTACCCTGGGTCCTGCTACTTCAGCTGGAGCCTCTGCCTCTGTGTTCCCTGCAGGGAGTGGTGTGCTGGCGATCCTGCTTATAGCCATTTTCCTTGAGCCCATAGAAGATAACCTGCCAAACAGGGAAGGGGAGGAGAAGTCACCGCCATTCCGGTCCACACTATTATCAACCTTCATGCTGCTCAGAGACAAACGTTTGCATCTCTTGAATCTGCTGCCACTATACAATGGATTGCAACAAGGATTCATGTCTGGTGAATACACAAGGGTAGGAGAGAAGCAAAAATCAGTGGCTTATCCAATATACCATATGGTTTCTGTACTACCTCACTTCACACCTTTAGGAACCACCAGGTGTCTGGAGACTACCTGTGTACCTCCTGCCTAGCTGGTGGGAGGCTCCTGGTTCCCAGCCTATACAATGGTTGAGTCTGTAATTTAAGATGTCAGCTCCCCAGTGTCTTCTACCTCTCAGGACTTCTCATGTCATAGTTGGTGGCTTCTTCCTAGGAGACAGTCCAGCTAGGAATGGCACAGCTATCACTGGTTCATGCTTGTGACACTCACTGTGTCCTGCAGACCTGTTTCTCCTTGCATTCTTATTTCAGATAAAAACACAGGGGACACCAAAACCAAGGGTGACATTGACATTCCTTTCTACTCTACTTTTCAAATTACATGTTACAGTCTAAGTATCTATGACAGTTCCAGGCATCAGCTCCCTATCCACTCTGACATCTCCCCTGATAGCTGCCTTGCCCATGTACTTCATGGCCTAATTGTTATAGCGATCATCTGTCTTTTGGCTGGCAAGTGTGAACTCATGGGAATTTGATGGCCACTACTTCAGGGATCACACAACCAGAACTCCATGGCCAGCTTCCATCACAGGGCTGTCCCTGGCCTCTGTCTCCCCAGCTCATGGCCTAGGTAACATCTGTTCAAAGGACCCTTCCTGCTATGGATCCCTGGCCTGGAGGACTCAGCCCTCTGTCAGAGTTAAGATCCTTGCTGACAGCTCCCAACAGACATGAGACAGCTTTGGGGCAGCCACAGAACAGGTCTAAGCTGGGCAAACCACTTGTGTCCCCCTGGCTCTGGGTTTTGCTCCCTCCCTCCCTTTCAGAGGAAACTTCCTGCTCCTCCCACCCACTGCCAGATAGAGCCACCCATTTAGCACAGAAAAAGATAGGCTGCCCAGTTCAATTCAAATTGCAGATCAACCACAAGTATTTCAGCAAGTGTTCCCTGTGCCGTATTTGGGTGTCTTGTATTTTATCTGGCAATGACACTCCAAGGACAGTATTGACAGGGTCTTGAGGAGTGAATGCTGATGATCAAGAAGTCTAAGAGCAATTTTGGATACCTCCTTCCATCAGACAGGCCTTGGGACTCCTGCCACAGCCAGCTGTCCAGACCTGATCAGTTTCCTGCCCCTCACCCTTATTCTGGGATCTACCAGGTAGCAGGAATCTGCCACTGAGACTTCTGGGGACTTCTGTGGCTGTTGGGGTGCATTGTGTGGTTTATTGTCTCTATGACAGAGACCCCTCATTCTAAGTCCATTTCTTTTAACTGTCTTTAGTCCTAGGAAAGCCATTAAGAACACACCCTTTCAGCTTGAAGGCATGTCCAACTGAATTGAGTGAAGAGAAATTGCCTTGGGCTTCATCTAAAATATACAATCTAGTTAACGTATAGCAACAGACCTTTCTTTCTTTGTGTGTCGTACTGGGCATTGAACCCAGGGCCTCTGAACCGAGATACCTCCCAATTCCTTTTTATTTTTTGAAACAGAGTCTCACCAAGTTGCTATATTGCCCAAGCTGGACTGGAACTTGTGGTTCCCCTGCCTCACCCTCCCAGAGTGCTGAGATTACACATGAGCACATTTTTTATTATGACACAGGTGCACCAAACCCATCTGTGTCATACTAGAATATAGTGCACATATCACAACATATGGCAAAGAATACGTGGAGAGCTTTGTCCAGGTATCTGACCAAACAGTGTCATTCTGTTCTGACCCCAGAGAGGGTTTCTTTGCAAATGTCACCATTGCTGCCCTGTGCTGGGAGATGCAGGGCTGGACAAAGGCTGTAGGCCAGATGATGGGTCAGCTGTCACCGAACAGCAGCTTCAGACTTGATCCCCGGCGAGGATAGCTGTACCACTAACCTGCTCCATGCTTCTCCCCAGTCCTATGCCACCTGCGCCCTGGGAATCCACTTTGTGGGCTACGTGATGATCTGCTTCTCAGCTGCCTCCTCACTGTGCTCCCTGCTATATGGAAAGATCTCCCAGTACACTGGCCGGGCCGTGCTCTATGTGCTGGGTAGGTAGGTGGTGCCTACTAGGTTGACAGAAGCCTGCTGTCAGAAGGCAGCAGGGCCCAGACGAGGTGCCAGAGGCCTTGCCAGTTAACTCTCCGGGGACCGGGGCGGTGGGAGGAGAGGAGGAGTGAGGAGTTTGCTGGCCACACACATATCTGTGCCTACTTACAGATAAAAGCCAGAGCTTCGCCTGAGTCAACCTCTCTTAGGGCACCCAAAGGGAACCATCCTTATCTGAGCAGAAAGTGAATAAGCAAAAGATGGCTGCTCCAACTTGGGGGCTGGGACACTGGCCATTGCAGGCAGTGACTGTCGCTGCTCACTGTCTCGCTTCCTCCTTCTGGTGCAGGAGCAGTGATACACGTCTCCTGCATGGTCACCCTCCTGCTGTGGCAGCCACACCCTGCCCAGATGGCCGTGTTCTTCATCCTCCCCGGCCTGTGGGGTGTGTCAGATGCTGTGTGGCAGACACAGAACTGCGGTGAGTGCCCAGCACAGGAGGGGCTGGGGCTGGGGAGCAGGCAGCCAGCAGTGTGAATGCCAGGCCCTGCCCCACCAAGCTGCTCTCAGGGGCTGAGGTACAGAAGCAGGACGTGGGCAGATCAAGAGCTGCCTAGGAAGTGTTTGCTCCAAGGGATCATTTGGGTCCCTGATCCAGAGGGGCAGTGTGTTCCCAGGGCCCCAAACTGGGCAAGACTATCTGAATTCATTCATCCATCAAGAGGACATGAAAAGCCCATAAAGATGGAAAAATGAGCTTATTCACAATCTGGCCAAATTGGGGGAGGGGAGCTACCCCATCTCCCTGGAGTGCTCAACTCACAGGAGGGTGGAAAAAAAGCCAGGAAATGTGCAGTGTAGATTCAGCCCGGTCTGGCCCACCATTCAGAGGGCCCGAGAAAGGTTGAAAATCTATTCCTCTTGGCACCTTGAGGGGTCAGGGCTGAATGACAGCCTCACTCCTCATAGGAGAAAGCCAAAGAAACTGACCAGCTCTAAAAATCTTAATCTTTAAAGGTCCATTTCAACTCTTGTTTTCAAGTTTGGGATGAGGGTGTCTGCAGCATGGGGTGGAGGAGGAGTGGGATTCACAGAGAGGACCAGGAGGCAGGGAGTCCTGTGTCCTCTCGGACATGAAATCACTGGAGAGGGTGAAGGGACACGGGGTGAGGGCACCATGGGAACAAAGCTCATTGCTCCTGGCACTGGGGTAGGACAGTTAGATTCCAAAGTGGAGGTGGCAAAGCCAGGCACAGCCCATGACTGAGCTGCCCAGAGGGAGTGGACCCCTTGAGCTGAATTCAGGGAATCTGTTAGCCCAGAGGAAGTTAAAATCACCATTGTCGGAGTCCCATGCTAGAATTGGCACCCCCTGAGGTGGCACCAAGAAGGCCAGAGAGACTAGCAGTAAGGGGTACGATCTGGCTAGAGAACAGGAAGGGGGCATGTAAGAAGCCCTGTCATTCCTAGACCCGCAGAACCCACCACTAGGAGCAGGATGGAGAGGGGTGGTGACAGCGCAATGCCTTGTGGTGGCTGCTTGACTGTTGTCTACTGTGACAGTAGCTCAGTGCCTTGAAGGAGGCACTGGGGGAGGAGGGAGTAGGCATCACGTGTGTGACATCTTTTGGAGTACATGTAACGGGGATGTGCATGTGGATAGCAGTTGAAAGAGACAGGAAATCTCATAGATCCTATTAGACCCCAAAGGTGTCTGTCTGAGGACTAGGCAGGTAAATGCTCTACAGCTGACAGGTCTTTGTGGGACGGGGCTGACAGTGTCCTTGGGCTTTCAGAGACCCCCTTGGGTTGTCTGTAGATCAGAAGAGACCCTCTTCCCTGAAACAGAACCACTGTATCTTTACCCAGGAAACACTTAGTGATTAGAAATTGAATAAAGCCGAGCGTGGTGGTGCTTGCCTGTAATCCCAGCACTCGGGAGGCTGAGGCAGGAGGATCGCTGTGCGTTTAAGACCAGCCTAGGCTATATAGTGAGTTCCAGGTCAGTCTCAACTACATAGTGAGACCCTGTCTCAAAAAAAAAAAAAAAAACCCAAAAAAGAAATTGAATAAAGAAAATCCACAAACTAGACAAATGATAGTATCCCAAAGAATGGGTGGCTTTATTGCTTCCCCTACGCTTGAGTATAAAAAAGCACATATTAGCTTATAGATCATGAACTAAATTCTCCAGGAATTGCTTACAATCCTAATGTGCTGCATATTTATAGAACAGTTGAAAACAATACCTTTAAGATTTAAGAGGTTTGGGTTTTATAATCTTTTCTATCACCTCAATAGTGCAGGTGGCTTTAGTGAAGCCTGGCCCAAAATCATGAGTGTGTGTTTGGGTTGGTGCTATAATCTGCTTTATTGGGATCCAGGTTGATGGCCTGGAATGAGTAGACTGGACCTATTTATAGGCTGGGCTGCAATTCTGCTTAATGGAACACATATTGCTTCAGTAGGAGAAATAACCAGACACTCACTTTAGCTTTTCTCAGCAATCCAGAATTATAAACTACCCATACAACATGTCACCTAGGAATCATAGGCACTTTACCCAGTTGAATCAGAGAAGATTTATTTCAACAACCCAAGGAAGTCTGAGGTATCCAGTATTTTGGCCAATGTTCCAAATCCTTGTGGCACCCCACAACCTGTGATATAAACTGAATTCTCAGAACCCATTTGAAATATCTAAAGTATTTATAAAAGGAAAGGAACTCAGGTAAATGGCCCCATAATGCCTCATACAATAGTTGTCCAGATATTTAAAATGATTGAAAAAAAAATTGGGGGGAGCAGGGATTTAGCTCAGTGGTTCTGCTGCCTGCCTTACAAACACAAGGACCCAAGTTCGATCCTTGGTACCAAAAAAAAAAAAAAAAGTTTTCTTTCTCCCCGAGATATGAATAATTGCTTTAAATCTCTCTTTCTTTATGTGGGCATAAAATATTCTAAAGGAAAGAAAGCCTTTGTCAACAGTGTTACCTCAGGTTCAATAAAAACAAGAATATTCAAGCCTGAAGAAGGACTTCAACAAAGAATCCCTTGAATAAGGAATGAGGGATGCTAATTTAAAAAGAAATTCTTCCTTTTCTTTTGTACAGGTACAAGTAAATGTTTTTTTCAAAGATTGGAGAACAAGAGTAGGCAAAAATAGTGATTTTCATACATCTGAGACTCTTTTGGAGTAGCTGCCGTCTTAATGAAAGTGAGGTCGAATTCCCCAGGCTGGCTCTACTGCTCCCTTAAAATTCACACCCTGCACTCTGGCACTTAGTAAGGTTTCTATGCTGTATTAAAAAAAAAAAAAACTGGAAATTTTGTATATCTTTGGCCATATCTCAAAAAGTCCTCTTTCATTTTCATCTTTTTAAATAGCAAGTTGGATCTCTAGTCCTCAGCTATGTGTCAAACAGTGTATGAAAAGCCAATGACCTTGGTGGTAAAAGAATTTACCAGCAGTCAAGGACTCTAGAGGAGACAAGACTTTATTCAGATCAGAGGACACTGTCAGGAGCGACTGTCAGAGAATTTCTGAGAGAAGAACAGTACTGTTAGGGTGGGAGATTTGTATCTGCATAAAGGCTACATGGAAAGAGGGGTCTGAGCCATAGATCCAGGCATCTCAAATTCTTCTTCCAAGAAGGCTGTTTCTGCTGACCCTTTTGGAACACCTTTACTGTTTCCAAAGTTGTGCACTAAAGTTGCAAACTGCCAAGGCCTCTCTCTTGGGCTTCACAAAAGGCCCTTCAGACTTAGAAAAGGCTATCTGTATGCTTTAACTCTTTGGAAAAATATGGGCCAGTAGCTCATTGGAAGGGAAGAACAGTTTGTGTATCTATTATCTTGTGCTGTTGGCAATCAGCTTTAGTGCGGTTCCTCATGACTTCCAGCATCTGCTGGGCAGGACTGTGTCATGTCACCAGAGAAATTTGAATGCTAAGAATGTCAAACCTTTGCCACAGCACCCATTTCTCCCTGAGTGCACATTCTTCTTTCAGGGAACAGGTGACCACATACTTTCCTGCTTAAGAGAGCTGAAAAATCTTGGAGTAGAGTGACCCTCCCTTTCAGTGACCACCCTTGATGTGAAAGCAGGGTGTCATGACTGCACACACGCCCCTCCCTCCTGGGGCAAGGCTGTGATGTCACTGCTCCCATGCTCCCCTTCCCTAGGTCTCTGCAGCGGGAGATCTGTGAAGATTCATCTGTGCTCATCTGTTCATTCACTCCTCAGCTCACGGAGGAGGGGCACGGTTGCCACGGCAACCCTCACACACCAATGTGCTGCAGTTAAGATTGAGAATGTCTGGTCTAAAAATAGCCCTACCCTGTGAGCTGCTGAAGGGCCTGCGTCAGACTCATAAGCACAGAAAGTCTGACCTCCCCTGGGTGCCCCTTTGCTTAGCCCATTTTCCTCAGCCAGATCTGCCAGCCGGCTGCTCCAATTGTCCTTATTCAAGGGCTAGAGTCAGTCACTTTGACCCCATGTTGCCTGGCAGGATGAGGCAGGTGGGGGAGACTGACAGCAATGCTGTTTTCTTTTTAAATAGCATTTTAGTTTGGAATAATAGATTTATTAAAAATTTCAGGGACAGTGATGCCCTTGCTCTGTCCCCCAACACCAAGAGTTTTATACAAGTAGGGACCTCTGAGGTGGAGGAGTTTCTGCAGAGGCAGCTCAGGGGTCAAGGTTGGTCTTGGTGAGGAGAGGAGGTGTGGCGGGAGAAGGAGCCAGCTGTGGCTGCACAGGGACCAGGGATGCTGGGGAAGTTTTTTGGGAATTGGTAAGCACTTTGCTAGAGCCAGCTGCACCTGCTACTCTATTAAGTCACGGAGATGGGATTCTTGAAGCCTTTACTCAGGTCTATCAAAAATGTTGCCACCCAGCAACAAAAAGCAAAAAGTGATTTATTTTCATCTAGATGCATTTATCAGACTGTATGAGTTCACTAAAGCTGCCAAACACATACTACAGCCTGGATAAATTAAACAACATGTACTTTCTCACAGTCTGGAGGCTGACAGTCTGAAATCAAGGTGCTGACAGGATTAACTTGTTCTGAGACACTCTCCTTGGCTTTCAGATAACCATCTTCCCCTGTGTCTCACCCAGTCCTCCCTTTGTGAGTCCTCATCCTCTCTGCATGTGAGGATACCACTCATATCTCATTGGGGCCATGTTTAATTTAAGGACCTCTCAAAGAACCTTTCTCCAAATACAGGACATACTGAGCTACCGGGGTCAGGATTTTACTGGGGGAACCAGAAGATAGGGCAAGGGAGTGGTGGTAGGAGTCAGTTTATCATACAGCCTCAGGTCACTTCTCTCCCAGATTTTCAGACAACCACCTGAGAGGTCTTTAATTAATCTGTCCTTTAATAGCAATTTAATAAAGTCCAGGCCTACAAGCCAGTTTAAGCAGTACCAGTCCTGTAAGACTAGTTTAATCAGTACCAATCTCATAAGGCTAGGTTAATCAGTACCAGTCCTACCAGTCCTGTGAGGCCAGTTTAATTAGTACTAGTCCTGTAAGACTAGTTTAATCAGTACCTGTCATGGCTTGTATCTAGATGTTGCCACAAAGCCTCACGTGCTTCTAGGTGGGGCTTTTTGGAGGTGTCTGGATCTAGGGTGTGTGCATGTAGATTAAGGGTTTGTGGATATGGATTAAGGGTGTGATGCACTGATTGGTTTAGCATAGTTCTAGGTGTGGACTATTGGAAGGACCACCCTGGGTGTGGGTGGCACCACCCAAAAGGCTTATAGCCTGGATGGGATAAAGGGAAAGAGAGATTTGCTGCTGCTGCTGCTGCTGCTGCTGCTGCTGCTGCTGTTTGGTGCTTGCTGCTTCCTAACTGCCCTGCTTGGACTATTTCTCCTCTGCCATGTCCCTCTGCCATGCCATTCTGCCTTTGAGACAGCTGACTATAGATTGAAACCTTAACAAACCATAAGCCGAAATGAATTTTTCCTCCTTTAACTTGTGTTGGTGTGCTGGTTTGTCTTAGCGACAAGAACGGTAACTAAGACAGTACCAATCCTGTTAGAACAATTTAATCAGTCCTAGTCCTATAAAGATACTTTAACCACCACTAGTCCTATAAGGACAATTTAATAAATACCAAATCCTTCCCAAGTCAAAGGTAGGAGGCCTTTGAACGTTGATACCTAGCTTGGTTGAACTCTTCTGCTCTTAAGACCTCAGATGACCTTCAAAATATGCACAATTACTATGTGTCAGTGAAGAATGAAACTATTTTTAAAACTGAAACTAAAAAATTTAAAAACACTAAAAAAAAAATGTCCCAGAATAAGAATGAAAGTACCAAGCACCAGCAATAGCCTGGCCCCATGGCCATCTGAACAAAGATTTTGGTCACTGACCTGATAAACCCCTGTACATGTCTCTGTGATATCCCCTAAATGGAAAAATAAGTGTCTCTAACTATTGCTCTCTCATGTCTTTGTTCATGGCGCTGGAGAGTGGCCATGTTCCATCTTATGCAAGCTGCGTCTCTTTGTTTCCTTAATCTGCACAGGCAGAGGTTCCTTTGCTAAATCTCATTTCTGCCCTGATAATGGTGCTTTCCTGCCAGAGGATGGCGCATGATTGCTGTCATCTGAAACATGAAATAACTCTGTGCTTTTTCCAGTTCTGGGATGGAACCCAGGGCATTCACACTGCGCTACAGCCCCATTAAAAATTTTTGTTTTTGTTCTGAGACAGTCTCTCTCTAAATTGCACAGATTGGGCTCAAACTTGCATTTCTTCTACCTTAACTTCCGAGTACTGGGTTTACAGGCATGTGCCACCATGCCTGGTTTAATGCTATGCTTTTTACAGAGAAAAATGAGTTGGTTTTGTTTTGAAAAAGAAACAGTGGCAAAGTTCCGCTATGTTCAGCAATAACAATTTAGCAGGTCGTACTTGAGGTTTTGCGTGACAGTCTCCGCTCCGTCTCTCCTTTGCAGTGCTGTATGGTGTTCTGTTTGAAAAGGACAAGGAAGCAGCCTTTGCCAACTACCGCCTCTGGGAAGCCCTGGGGTTTGTCATCGCCTTTGGGTGCAGCACGTTTCTATGTGTCAGCACCAAGCTCTACATTCTGGCAGGAGTCCTGACGCTGGCCATGGCGGCTTACGGGACTGTGGAGTACATGGAATCCAGGAGCCTCACCCAGCTCTCTGCTGCAGGAGGCCGAAGTCAAGCAGATGAAGGGGAAACTCAAACACAAATGTGAAAGAAACCCAGGGTGTGTCCAAGGATCCTCAGAAAGTGTTAGCAAAGGGGTTTTATTTGAAGATGTGTCAGGTATATGCTTGATTCTTCACAGCTATGTCAGCAAGTCATTTTACTTTACATTTTATGTAACTTTTTTTCTACTTCAATTAATTTTCAGTGACTATAGAGATCTAGAGTATACATAAAAGTTTCAGTTAATTTAATTTCAGATGTGAAAGAAACACATTAAAACATAGACTTACCTTGTTGTTGCTGGGTTTTTTTTATTTTTTGTTTTTAATTTAAAATAATCTGTACAGTACTCCATAGACTCTGTGTGTGTGTGTGTGTGTGTGTGTGTGTGTGTGTGTGTGTGGTACTGGGGATTAAACTCAGGACACTGAGCTTGCAAGGCAGGCAGGGCACCACTGAGCTAGATCAGTAAAGCTTCAAGCTTCTAACACTGTAAATTTTATGAACGGATCTACACAAGCAAGTGAATGTAACAAAGTCACAGAGTATCAAGGCCAGAATGGAGACTCCTGAAACTTACAGAGGGTGTGTTTCTAAGGAAATGCAATTATCTTGCAGACTTGCTTTGTAGACAAATCCTGTTATCCTAAAAAAGTACATAGACCAAATACATACATATCATCAAGTATCTGCGCCTGGTGATGCTCATCTATGATCCCAGCACTGAGGGAGGCTGAATCAGGAGGACTGCAATCTTGAGCCCAGCTGGGGTAACTCAGTGAATTAGTGACACCTTGTCTAAAAAAAAAAAAAATTGAAGACATAGATCAGTGAGAAGATCCTGAGCTCAATCAAAAAAAAAATTATTAAGCAACTAAGTAATTTAGCATTTGTTAGATCTCAGAAGTTATCAAGAATGATTTCATTTATAATACATTCCATATTCCATCACAATGAAAAAGTTGGCCATACACCACATGTCACATGCCCACTCAAAGTTAAAGGAGGGAAGGTTTATTTTAGCTCACAGTTTGTAGAGGTTTCAGTCCGTAGTTGGTTGGTGCCAAGGCTGGGTGGCACAGCAGAGGGGCATCGCAGAGAAACAGTCCACAGTAAGGCAGGCATGAAGCAGCAAATAGCAACAGCAAGCTGCCTCTTTTCTTTTTTTGTACTGAGGATGGAACTCAGGACCTTATGCTTGAGAGGCAGGCCGCAGAACCACTGAGCCAAATATCTGGCAAGCCTGCCTCTTTTCTGTCGTTTATATTCCATCTAGGCTACAAGCCTATTGATTGGTGCCACCTGTACTCAGGGTGGGCTTCCATCAGCCACACCCTTTATCCCAGTGCCACATCCTTAATCCACACTCACACACCTTAATCCAGCCACCTTCAAAAGGACCCACTGATGATCACATAAGGCTTTGGGGGGACATCTAGATACAAGCCATAACAAAAGCTCTTTCTTTATCAAGAGACAGATGATGTACAATATCCCCTCCAACTCAGAGGTTGGGATTTGTGAGTGATGTGTTCCTGGATGCCGGTGGTGTAGGATGAGCCTGATTCTCTTTGGATACACTCTGCTCCAGCATGTTAAACCTGGAGCTCCCCTTATCCAATCACCTTCATGCCCCTACCAGCACCTTGGAGGATGGCTTGGAGAATGAGTCAGACCTGACCCTGAGACAGGGAAGACAGGAAGGAGTGGCTTACAGAACAGAGCTGGGCTTCAGGAAGTTCACACGTGAGCTGAGGAGACTGCTAGAGAGGTATGTGCCAAGCATCGTGGAGCCCTGGGCTGCAGAGCCCAGAGACAAGGGGCTCAATCAGCCCTGGTTTTTATTTCACTTTATTTTTTGAGGGAGGCTAAGCAGAGGCTAAATTACACCGACATTACTGGATGCTCCGGGTGACTTGGGTCAGCCATCTGAGTGAGCCAAATGGGTGAACTGACCTGGAATAGAAGGCCTGCAGTAGTCAACTCTGATGCTGGGCATACTTCATTCTTCCACGAGGCTGGCAGGTATGGACAGAGCTCTAGCCATGGCCTACCATGTGTGAGGACCTGTGTTCACTCTTCAGTACTTCAAAAAAAGGAAGATTTATTTTTAGGCACTAAAATGTAAAAGGATTTTCACGGGGGTCCCTAACCCAGGAACATGTACCAAGCACAGTGAGCACTGTCTTTGATGGATGTTTTTGTGCATTTTTATAGCAGCTGGATAACCAATCTTGGTTTCCAGCTATGGGCTCATCCCTGGGACATGATTCTGGGGGCACACTCAGGGAGACTGATCACAGAAGGGTAGCTCCTACAGGTGTTGGGTGAGCCATTTTCTGCTACCTCCAGCAGGAGGTTAGGATCTCACAGAGCTAGCCCCAGCCTGCATCTTTCTGTACAGAGAGGTGAAGTGCTCGAGCTATTTCACGATACCGAAGGAAATGGCAACAAAATATATGATATAATATGATCATCAAAGGACTGTATTCACCACTTTCCATTGCTGGCACAGAGTACCTGACACAACTTAAAGAAGAAAGGCTTACTTTGATTTACAGTTTCAAGATTTCAGTCTGTGGTGGGCTGGCTCCAAGGCAGAAACATCGTGGTGTGGATGTGGCTGAGTAAAGCTGCTCAAACCATGGCAGCCAAGAAGTAGAGGGAGCAAGAAAAGAACGGGAGACCAAAGAAGGAGCATAGGACAAAACACACTTTCCTTGGTCCTGCCCCAGTGACCCACTTCCAACCAGGCCTCATCTCCTACCAGTACCTTTGGCTGGGAACTCATCAGTGGGATTAATCCACTGGTGAGGTTTCTGCTCTCATGATTCAATCACCTTCTAAAAGCCCCGCCTCTGATTACAGAGGACTTTGGAGGGACATTGCAGATCTAAACCATAACAAGAACTAAGGCATTTGAGATTTCCTAGTCTTATGACCAAACCAAAATCAGATTTCTTCTTCTTCCAAGGGCTATTTCCAGGCCCAAGTCTAAAGTGCTTTCTTTTTTTGTTGCTAAGCCTCAAACCCCCTCCTTCCAGAATGTTCTCTCCAGGTTTCTTGTCTGCCTTCTCCCAAGCCCCAGGAGGCAAAACACACAGTTGGAAGAGGATGAGTCCAGAGTTGAAAGAAATTTTTCTCTTCCTTCCCCTTTTCTCTCTCTTCCCACTGTAGTTAGTACCTTGGATGGGCCAGAGAATCCAGAAGGAACTATGTTTGCTACAAAATGTGAGCCTGGGATGGTGGCTCGCCAAGTGCCAATCACATACTTATGTCCCTGAGGCCCTAGGACCAGTCTCTGCTTTGTTAGGGCTAGAGAAACAACAAAGACTGGTTACAAGCGCCCCCTGGTGGACAGGAGTGATCACAGCAGCATCAGCCAGTGTGTGCTAGGAACAATATCCTCCCACTGGGGAGAACAGATCCCCGCGCTATTTCACCTGGTGTTTTGAAAGCAAGCACTGACATTGGAAGTCATTACCACAGAGATGTCAGGAAAAAGACCAGCTCTGCATGATGAGATGGGAGAGAGTGAGGCTCTGAGTTTGGCATCCTTGGATCTCACACACTTGCGGGGGGCAAGAAGACAAATGAACGAGAGAAGTAAAAACCTGAGAGTGCAGTTATAGACGGAGACTGAAGGTAGATCATCAGCTTGGCAAGGGACACATCACTGGCATCCATGTCCAAAGCAGCTTGGCGGATCTTTGGGAATGAACACCTGAACCAATGCGCTCAAAGATAGTAAAGAAGTGTAGATGGCGAGGCTTTCCAGCCCTTCCAGGAGGGCTTCTCCAAAAATGAGAACAGCCTGTTGTGGTGTCAGACATGGCCACACAGTGGAAATAATCAGGGCTTGGGAAGAGTGGGCACTGGTTTATTCTAGCACAAGTCACTCGCGGTATCCGCGAGAGAGGCAAGAAGATTCATTAAGATATATGTCCTGTTCTGGGTCACACTGGAACAATGACCTGCCTTCACCTTCCTGGCCTCAGGTGCTCATTACTAAAATGCCTAACAGCAATGAATTCAAGCCTAATCTTCAACTCTGTTAGAAGCACTCAATTTTTAAAAACGTATTGAATTATAGCACACAAAGAAGAAATATACAATTACACCTGAACAGTTAGATATGTTTTCATATGGGGACACAACTATACAATCATCAACTCAGTCCAACAACAGAACACAGCAGCCCCACCAAAGACACCCAGGTAGCCCTTCGCATCACTTTCTCAAGGACACCAATTCACAAAACCACAGACTCATTTTATGCACTTAATTTTTCACTTGATTGATATAAAGGAACTGTGTTTATTGTTGTGTTGAAATGATAATGATGATAAAAGTCCTCCCTGAACAAGCACCATCTTTTCCCCTGAGCCAGGTGCTGTGGAAACTGTGGAGTTTTCAGCAAATGTTACCCAAAAAGGGCCACAGGCTCTGTCACCTAGTTGAGAAGATCTATAGAGGGCAGAGATGACTTTTGAATTCCAGTAAATTGTTGGTTTTTCATGTCCTTCTGCCTTGGGCTTTGCAGACAGTAGATGGTTCTTCCTCCATTAACTGCCTGGGGTATGAGTCTGTGTCCTTGCTTGGAATTAGGATGGAGGCACAAAAAAGTAGTGACTATTTTGCTTATTGGCTCAGAGTTTCCTTGGACTTCACTCCATTTCTGGCTTAACATTATAATGCACCAAACTGCCTCTGGATCCTTCCTGGAGAGCATGTGAATGAAGCACGTCCTGGTACACAATGAAAGGCTGGGGATGGGGTTCTGTCACAGCACTGGACACTTGTTAGGTCCATGTAACTGGACATGGAGAGCCACAAAGCGCATTTCCTTTAGTGTGAGGTGGAGGCAATGCTGGACCTGGGATGCAGGGGTCCCAGTGCTCCTCTGGGCTGGTGCTCAATGACCACCAAGACCAGACTCTGGGCAACTGTCACTGGAAGGCTCAGCTGCGGTCAAACTGTCCTCAAAACTTCCTGCTTCTAGAGCCGGGTGTGGTGGCGCATGCCTGTAATGCCAGCACTCAGGAGACTGCGGCAGGAGGATCGCTGTGAGTTCGAGACCAGCCTGGGCTACATAGTGAGTTCCGGG